TTTTCTTGCAATGAGGACAGGGTGGATAACCTTCAATTTTGCCTGTAGTTTTGGTGCCTTTACCCTTCTTGTTTTTAGGTTGATGCTTTTTCACTCCAAATCTTATTTGAGCTTTATATTTTCCCTTGGCAAACAAGGCTCCTTCAACTTGTTCTTCCTACCTAAACAACCTCCTTTGGTTAGTTACTTGCAAAGCATTTATAAGTTTAAATGAGGTTATAGTAGACAGATCTCTGGAATCTTCAAGTGAAGAGATTTTTCCCTCAAATTTCTCGGGCAGACTGATAAGGACCTTTTCTACCACGTGCTTATGAGGTAGTTCATCCCCTAACAACCTTATTTTGTTCACCATTTTCATCAACCTATCTGAGAAGTCTTTAACAAATTCAGCCTCCTTCATCTTTCGTGTTTCATACTTCTAAGATTGAGAACTTGCATTTGCCTTGTCCTTGCATTCCCCCAAAACTCCTCCTGTAATCTGTCACAGGCTTCCTTTGTTGTTTCACATGTGATAATCCTGGTAAAAATTGCATCAAAGACGGCTGATTGGATGCAAGACAAAGCCTTGAACTTCTTTGCAACCTCTTCACTATGTTGCTTCAGTTGAGCAATAGTTGGATTTGCTCTAAGAGGTGGTGACTCTGCTCCAGATTATGTGATTTCCCACAGGTCATAGGTGTTCAGATAAGCCTTTATTTTAGCAGCCCAAAAATCATAGTTCTCACTGGTAAACATTGAGGGTAAAGGTGCCGAGAAACTACCTAAAGCCATCTTCTTGCTAATTTGATGAAAAGTTTTCTCTCAGGGCTACTGGTAAAGTTATTAACGGTATGGGAAGCTTCTTACCCGTTTCTTCAGTTCTTCAGCACTTACTGGATTGTATATTACTTACCGGTTTGTGTAAAACTTACCGGATTTTTCACTTCTTACCGGTTGTACACTTCTTCAGCCCTTTACAGCCCCTTCAAAGATCAAAAAAATGCTCTGATACCACTGTAAGATATTAAACAAACAAGAGGAGAGAAAAACATATGAATTTCTATATATTTCAATGGTGTTTCCCGGCTGAATATATAGCCATGATTTGATACAATTCAAAAGCACTTTCTTCCAACAACCATACTACCTACTACCACTAAATAATACTTGACAATACTTTAACTTGTAGTAGGTCCAAACTAGTCTAACTTTACATCATTACATGAGTTAAACATAAACCAAAACATGTGACTAAATGGAAACCAAAAACATTTGTTAAGTGACAACAAAAGTGTCACTTACACGGCCAACTTCAACAAGAAAGGTGTTCATTAGAGAATTTATGCTACTACATAAAGTGCCTAAATAAGTATGGCAGAGAAGGCTAATGTATACAAATGTACTAATAAATGCAATGTTCAATTTCAACACTGCCGTGCATTTCTAAGTTTACACTGGCATTTTCTCTAATTTCTTTATATATCTCAGAATCGTAATAAGGGCTGTGTACTCAGCTGTCTACTACTGAAACGAGTAATCAAAAAGTTGTGGCTCAGAACATAACAAGCTCTCATATACAATATAAGTAAAGGAGTTGAGATGTCAAGTTGCAGAAAAATAGCCTTTCATTCTTTCTCCACGCTCTAATTTAATTTTATACATTGGGAGAACCAGCTTTTAAGAATAGAATCCTGCTTAACAGTCGAATCAATCTTCCAACTTAACAACTCTTGAAGGCAACCTTGAGTTTCAGATTCCAAAATTGTATAGATCCTAAGCTTGATTTGCTTCGAAATAGGCCTTGAATCACTTCTACATGCAACTTAATGGGATACAAGATTTCTAGCATTGCCTGGAAATATGAAACTTGTTTACAAGCAGGTGCTTAGAGACTTGTGAGCAACAACAGCTTAAACCTTTTGGAGTAGGTTGAGCCCATTTCATGGTGCTTGTGTGGGTCCAGTGATGCTCATTGCATCAATGATCAACAGGTTGAGAATTAACTCATTGCATCAATGATCAACAGGTTGAGAACTAAGTGGTACAGGATACTACGTGGTACACCATCTAAGCAAGGTAGGATTCTAAGCCCATGGGAGTCACCTCTAGAACCTATAGAAACTCAGTGTGGTCCCAGCATGTTATGAGGCCCTAAGAGAGAGAAGAAAAGGGGAAATAAAAAAGGGAGAGGAATGAAACATATGAAAGAGGAGAGAGAAATATGTTTGTATTATATATTCAAGGTCTTGCAGCAGAGACCCCTTTTATATAGGATTTCAAGTAATATAATTTACGTAGTTAAAGAACCAGAGAAATAATAAAAAAATATTAGAAACCAATAAAATAAAACTCTAGTTACTTCTTTTAAAATAACTATCTAAATTGGAAAGTCTTCCATACAATATAGTTAGTAGGATTTCCTTCATTTCTCCCCGACTAAGAGAACTCAACTCCGATGAGATAAAGTACAAGTTCGTACTCAAGGAGGCAATCTTTCTTTCTGACCAAATAACAATATTGACTATACGATGACAATCAAATTTGAAAATCGTCCTTAGAGCTTGTTTGGAAAGGATTAAAATTGAAAAACTAGCCGATATTGTTGACTTTTATTAGACTAGTGAGGTCCAATAACGGCTATATTATCAATTTTAATCGGTACCAAACGGTCATGAATTAAGAGCTTGTTTGGAAAGGATTAAAATCGGATTAAAATTGAAAAACTAGCCGTTATTGTTGACTTTTATTAGACGGGTGGGACCCAATAACGGCTATATTTTCAATTTTAATTGGATTAAAATCATTCCCAAACAAGCCCTTAATAACATCATCTGACCAAGGAAGGCGATCTTGTCTTTTGACCAAGTATCAACATAGTTCTCGATTATAATATACATTAATAAATCCTCTATAGCATTCTCAAGGACATCGGCAGAAACAGAAAAAGCATGAGGGACTAGAACATAGGTATGTTCTGTA